AGCCCAAGCCCAAACCAAAAGACCCCAACTCTGAGGGCGAGAACTTCATGCTGAAGAGAGCGCTGAACATCAAAGAGAACAAAGCTATGGTGAGGAAGTCCACTTCTACATGAGAGCATTGTGCCTTTTTCATTTTCTTTTCATTTTTGAAAAGGTAACGTAGTATGTAGCCAGCCCTAGATATTAGTATGCCTTTATCTATTTCAAGTTTGAATGTAATTCTTATGATAATAATCTTCATTATTTTTAAGAGCGTTTTGATTAGTTGGAGTATAAATCCTGTTTTAACAGAATTGTGATCTCTTCCTTGTAGCTTGCTAAGCTAATGGCAGAGCTGGATAAGGTTCCTGGACTCATTCCCAGGAAGGCTGCTTTGTCACAGGGCAATACGGTAAGATTTTACTGTGCTGCTGTAAAAAAATAAATGCATAAGTTGACTAAAATTATATTAATGCTATAACTGATGGTAAAATGACTAATACATTTATTACTAACAACAATTACTGTGAATAACTTGTTAATGCAAATAAATTAATGCTAATAATATTATGAAATAATACTAAATTATGAACAATACGGTACTAATTTAGATTATTATTATTATTAGTTCTTGTTGTTTAACTTGATTTTGATTTCTCTCCCTGCACAGCCTCGCCGTGCTCCACGCCGCTCTCTAGACCCCAATAGCGCTCGCCGGCGAAACCCGGAGCGAACGTCACGTCCTCTCACACGTTCACGGTCACTGGTAGATGGACCACCCTCCCCCCCTCCAGAGGAAGAAACAGAGGACAAATACAGCCTGGTCCGCAGAAACCGAAATTACGACGATGATGATGATGAAGAAGAAGAGGAGGTGCGTTTCGGCCTTTAATATCAAGAGATGTTTTTTATTCCCATTCCTGTGTGTATGTTGAAATTATAAACTACTGTTCAAAAGTTTGGGTTGGTATTATTAATTTTAATTTAAATATTAGTTGTTTTTATTTTTTTAAAGGGGTCATATGATGCGATTTCAAGTTTTC